TATCAAAATAAAAATAAATTATGAAAATGCTTTTATATTTATTGTTTCTATTTGTTTTTTACAAGTATTCTTAAAGAGGCAAATCTAGATCATAATAATTCATTCCTCTAATTTTTAGTGTGCAAAACCATCTTATGTGCTTTCAACAGTGCACAGTGCCTGGGCCCACCCACAGGTGATGGCCTAATGGGTAAGGAATTTCGCTACAAACCCAAACACTGGCAGCTCAAATACACTAGCTGGATTTGAGAACTCCACTAGCTGGGGGAGAAAGACAGGCAATCTCCTTCAATGTGATTTATAGCTTCTGAAAATGGGCTGGAGGATCACCAGCGAGTTGGTTCAAACTTGACAGCAATTAATGGACAGTGAGACTAAGATGCATTTTTTTAAGATGCATTTTTAAGATGCAATTCTGAGAGACCTCACATCAAGGAGATTTTGATATAAATGTTCTCTGGAATGCACTTCAAAAAGATAACCATAAACATTTTGCCAATATATAACATGAATAGAAAAACAAACTCATTCACTGATTTTAATAAATCTAAAAGGATTATCTACACAGCATTTCTAAAAAATCAGTACTTCAGCCAACAAAGAAAATAAATTATAAAAATGCTTCCAGATCTTCTGTCTCTACTTGTCTTTTACAAATACTCTAAAAAGAGGAAAACTGAGATCACAAAAAATCCTTACATTTTTTTCCCTACAAATAACCTGAAGCTAAATCTATCCACAATGTTAAATAAACAATAATGCAGAATCAGAACACTCACCACCCCTTTCTCCACAACTTCTTTTAGTTTAGAGCGTGTCATTTTAGGCTCCTAAGAAAGGGAAAATGGGAAGAAAACAGTCAATAGGAATTATCTTGATTGCTGGGTTATGAAATGTTAACTTTGTTCAGTTACAAAACTACTTACAAACACTTCTGTAACCCTCTGCATGCTGCCTTTCTATAGATAACTTTTATGCATAGTATAAAAAAAAAAGGGTGACAATTAAATACTTACAAACATTGGCATATCTTCTGTCTCACTGATTGCTGCTTTCATCATGGCTACCACATGTTCATTTGTGATTACTTCCTGGAGGAAAAGAAAATTTCACCTTATACAATAAGTGTATGTCATCTGGACAATACTCATCATTCTATCTTGTAAGGATAAACAAGAGAAGGCAACCCAATAACTAGCTTACCATTAGATTACAGCAAAGTTGAAAGTAAAAATGAATAAAACAAGCTCTGAACAGAATTACAGAGCTTCAAACAATGTGCCAGCAAACAGATTAATCTCTGTAGCTGCTAGTCAGAAAAGACATAGACCACTTAAGAAAAGATTCTCAGGTAATTATATGTTTAAGAGAAAGAACAGAATTTACACAGGTGCAAAGTACTTTAAGTTGTTAAATGGGCATCCTTGCATACATTTCAATTCACAAAAAAGTAAATCCATCATTAATATTATTGCCTATAAATCTGCTTAACACCACAAAAGAAGCTGTATACAGAATAGTTATCTTTTCAATAAAGTTTTTTTATGTGTTCAGATTTCAAACATGTGTAAGTACAAAGAAATGTAAAACAACAAAAATAATTCAGGGAGCTCTGGTGGCCTACTGGCAAGAAGCTGTACTGCAATCCCAGAGGTATGTAGTTCAAATCCACCAGACTCTCTGCTGGAGAAGGAAGGGCAAGCTCCTTCTGTACCACTCAGATCCAATTTGAATAGTACACACACAAAAAGAATTTAAAAATTAAGAAAAAAAAAAAGAACAAAATAATTCGTATGCCAAGAGTATTCTGAGTTATTTCATAGGCTTTCCATGGCAAATTTCCTTTACAATTAATACACTGCACAGTCTTACTACTCACATGAAGGATGTTGCGCACATTTACTGCTGTAAGGTTGTGTTGTTTGGCACCGTCTTCTAAGGTGCGATCAAGCATGTCATCCAGTTTCAGGTCATAAGCCAAAGTCCCTTCTTCTTGACCTCTTCCATCACGTTTTCTTTTTGTACCCTTTTTCTTTTTTCGCCTTTTCTCACATTCTTCATTATCTTGCTCCTCTGCAATAAAACCAAAAGGATCAAGATTGATAAATCTGCTGCATAGGAATTCAGCCTAGAAAGACTGAAAAAAGACAGGTTTCAGTTGTCTGGTCCTAAAAATCAAAGATAATTATGATATAGTGGTAGTGGTGACAGTGAAGACACTAACAGTACCAGTAGCAGGAATAAAAACTAACACTCACTGGATGCTTACTTTATGCCAAGAACTCTTCTACACATTTTAAACATATTAATTCACTTAATACAAAATACATACTATTCTTCTTCCATGTTAAAGATGAGGAAACCAAAAGAGACAGGTCACAATGTTGCTGTTGTTATGTGCCATCAAGTCGCTTGCGACTCATAGCGACCCTATGTACAAGAGATCTATATGCTCTTCTATCCTGTGCCAACCTAGCCATCTCAAACACACTTACTCCCACCTCTCTAGTCACAGAATCAATCCATCTCATCAAAGGTCTTCCTCTCCTTCGCCGCCCCTCCACACTGCCAAACATGACGTCCCTCTCCAAAGACCAGTCCCTCCTTGCAACATGCCCAAAATATGTCAGATGAAGCTTCAGAATCCTTGACTCCAGGGAACATTCTG